GATCGCAGTCGAGCCATCGCCAGCAGCAGCAGACAGGCGAGCAGCCGTCTTCAGCCACTCTGGAACATAATAATAGAACAGAAGTACCGTACCCTCATTGATGAGGCGCTCGCGGATCTCCCAGGCGAATATCGTCGGATTGTCGCGTTTGTATTGTTCGATTTTAGCGACAACTTGCGGAGTGGCTACCTAAAGCAATGAAGAATAATGCTTCGAACTTTCAATCAACACTGCTGCAACCTTTCAAGTGCGCATTCCCTCCCAGGATGTCTCTTCTGGCCCGTATGTGGCTTTAGAAGCTTTAAATATGGCATTTCAAGCAGACAATATACTCGTTTTTCGAGAAGCTGAGGAACTTTTGACATCCAAGAGCGCTTTGTTGAAATGAAGAAAATTCGGCGCTATCGCAATAAAGTGGGGCGCCATCTCATGAGCTTGGGGACAGGAATTTAGGAGAAACAAATACCCTAAAAACCGTACACACCCTGGATTCTCTCCCACTGCCTAAGAGTTTATCATGTTAGTAACAAAAGAGATGGCTGAGGCGGTCTTGAATGCGTTGTTTCCTCATTGCTTGTGCTTAGCGATAGTGCCAAAAACCTATTTCTGAAGAGGGAAAGCTCGGCCGGAAAAAATGGGTAATTTTGAAGAAGGAATGAGTACCTAGTGAAAGAATTAATGCTGTTATATCAATATTGGCATTTATTAATTGTCTTCAAAATTTGAAAAAAAAATGGTTTTCGGCACTGCTTGGGCATCTGTTGGTGCCGGCCTAAGTAGTTAAGACACAGCTCCCGAAGCTTTCCTTCAGAGAATTGAGCCATATGGTTAAGCTTCCTTCTACAGCAGGAAAAGCCTACCGTATTCCACAAAAACTCATAATTCTAAATTCCCGCGAAAAAATCCAGTGCCTATCCTCCAAGAGACCCTTGAAAATGTCGTCGCAGAAACGCAAAAGGAATCCCAGCGCGCTCGAATTTGGGGCAAATTTGACACGAGGGCGCATCCCAATGAAGCTGTTCACTGTAAGCTTTTCCTAAGCATCGACTCTCATTCAGGAACTCCAATTAACATTCTGTTTTAAAGAACCCAACTGAGAAAATGGAGAGTTTTGAAAAGTAGATAAATAGGAAAGTACAAAAACCTGCTCACCTTCGGTTTTGTGCCTGCTCCACCGCCAGCTTTCGAATGTACCCTCTCATCAGCCATCGATCGAAACTTTTGCATGGGAGCACTACAATCTGTCATTCTTAAAAAGGAAGCTACGAAATATTAAAGCAAAATTGGATAGATCAAAATGAATGGAGCAAATAATAATCGGGAGCCAATTAGCCAAAAAAGCCTGTACTGGGGTGTGAGGTTTACCGTAGTATTGCTGGCCACTAACAATGGTGGGCGGTGTTGCTAAGAGAGATGTCGGAACAAAGCTCGATAACGAGCTCTGATTTGGTCAATAAGGGCGCAAACCAGCAGCGCTGACAGTCGGACCTAGGAGCAAGCCCCTCTGAACTCTGAAGAGAATCTTCATTACAGTAACAGTTCAAGGTATTCGGTGGCGGTACTCTGTGCATAAGATTTTCCCCGTGAAAAGGTCTCTAAGATTAAGTAGGAGTATTCCTTCTGTGTGCCGTCACTCATTAGAACTCGAGGATTCGAAAATATGAAAAGGAACAATATAGCGCTACTTGAAGGGAACTGACTAAGTTAGAAAAAACAGTCCATGGAGACCGTCTTAGTGGAGACTTTGGAGTGCTACTGTATCCCCTGAAGACACAGCGGGGGATTTAGCTGGAAAAGGGTGGCATCTGGGGGTGTCACTATTGCAAAATAGCAACTGCCCTAACTGCCAAAAAACCCCGAAGACTACACAGATATAGTGGAACCAAAATGGTGCAGAGCGACCTCTTAATGAGTTCAATGCTATCAGAAAGGCACTAAGCGATCGTCGGTATGTGTTGTCTGAAGAAGCGTGAGAATGTCAAGTGGTGCGAGATTACCATATGCATGTCAAAGGGCGGGATTACGGTAAGAGAACACGAGTGGCTGGCGGATTAAAGCCAGCCTTTACATGCAGCGCGACGACCTCTTGTGCAAGGCGTTGGCCGAGCGATTGGAGCCGCGAATCGAGAGAGGACATTCTTGAGAGCTCCTTTGTGATCGCAACGACGATTGCTGACGCTTCAAAAGTCGAGTTGCTCGAGAAGATTGAACAGTTCTGGTGAGTGTGGAAGGTAACGGAAGATGAGGGAAACAATAGCTATGCAGCAAATGAAAGTGGACCTGGTATAGCGGCAAATGGCGCACGCCATACCCATGGTCTGGGGTTCGAACCTCAGATCGAATTTCGAACAAGCCAAACTGAGCATTCTTTTCTTCAGAGAGCCGCTAGGGAATCAGACTTCTTTGGGAAGGTAAAACACTGACTCCTACATTGGCAGGCCTCTGCAGGCTACTGTACTATAGACCAAATACAAATTCTGACACGGTTCCAAATGAAACTGGGATGCGCAGCGCATTCGAGAAATAGATCGTAAAAGACCAAATACTTCATTCTCTTTGACTACAAATTGATTGTATTCTTACGTACATAATCATAACTGCACAACATCTTGCTCAGCGGTCTTTCTAGTAACGGTATTTTTCTGGCTTCATCTTCGAATTCTGCCAGGCTTCGCCCCAAGTGAAAATTTTGAGGACTCTCAAATAAGACATTTGCCTACCGTTGAAGAGATGCTTTCAATTCTGAGAGAGGAATGAATTCTCTCTCATGCTGGAGAGTCCGCACCGTTCTACAAATGACTGATCAACGTTAAGCGCTTCTTTTTTTATTTCAGAGTACCTCTAGAGCATTGCCTTTGACACGCTTTGTTTTTAACTGCGGTATTGTATTCTCTTAGGGCGGAAGTGGTGTAGTGGCAAGTGGCACGCTTACCACGCGAGCGGTCCGGGGATCAAATCCTGGGTCGTGAGTCGCCCGGGCCAACCAAGCCTTCCATCCCTCCGGGGTCGGTTAATTGGTACCAGACTTGTCTGGGAGGATAAAAACACTGACTTGTACATCGGCTGGCCCCCGCAAGTCATTGTATAGGCCACATCGCATTCAAACGCCACTACGAATGTACAAATGGAAGTAGAATCCCAAAAGGGATTGATCAACGGCAAATGCTTTATCCTTTTTTAACTCTCTTGAAAATCCCTTAGTCTACTACACTCTATGGATGGACGAATAGACCTCATTCTTTTAAAAGAATCAGAGGCGCTCCCAAAAGGGCTGGACAAAGCGATTCAGAAATAGGTCTCGGAATTCTACCCATTGTGCATTCATTGGGTCTCACGCGAGCAATCTGATGTACGCAGATTGAGCTCATCCCAGCCTTGACTGAAAAAAAGTACAATGACGATTTTCCGGCCATTACCCCAACAACTGTTCATAGAGCATATACGTTTCATTCGTATATGCTATAGCTAAAACTGTTTCACACTAGACGATTGCACCCCTCACTCGCACGGTCCTGGGAAACGAATCCTGCCCACGGCAACCAGGCCCTCCATCCTTCTTTTGTTGCTTAAATTGTACCAAAGTAGATAAGGCGAAACCCCCGGCTTAAACACCAATCTAATTTTACAAGTCCTTTTGTAGCCATGCATTTAAATGCCCAGGCCAGTCGAAGGTATGGCGTCCGTGATCGATACCTTACCTTAAAGGCACGAGTCAGGCTTAGTGGACCAAACCAATCCCTTTTGTCGTCTTTGTGCATGGCTACGCACCCACAGAGACGTTACCATGCTCAGAATCCCAAAAGGCGCCGTAATAACGTACCAGTGTATGCATTAAGCGCTCGGTACGC